ACACAGAGAGAGAGAGAGAGAGAGAGACTCAATATAAGAGTGTGTGTGTGTGCGTGTGTGTGTTTTTACGTGTGTGCGTGTACGTGAGTGTATGTGGGAGGAGGAGGAGGAGGGGGGGGGCTAAAAAATTAAGATAGATTAATAAATAAATAAATAAGAGAGCGACTCGTGTGCTGAAGGAGGGAGGAGTGAGAGACATTCGGTCAAGAGTTCTCGGATACTTCGAGGCAGTAAAAGGGAGTAATGCGAACCCGTGAAGGTGAATCAATTCGATTGCCAACCCTCGCCCCTATCTTTTCCGCATCCCTTTTGCGAGGCTCTTCCGCTAGGAGCAACAAGTGCGGGCACGTCTCATCCTCTTTACCCGACAACACATCTTTAAGAAACAGTCTCGACTATCTTTCCTCGTTCGGTCTGCCCAAGTCTGAGTTCCGATGGACGTATTTGAATCGAACGCGATTTACCCTTTTTCCGCTCGATGTCGATATATTCAGTCGAGGCGATGCGTTCACAGCCGACCAAGACTCGCCGTATACGTATGGCCGAAAGCTCTACCGAGATTAAATTTCCGAACGAATTGTGCTTTGTTGTTTTAATGAAATCTTCCAACTTTCATGATTTAACTTTGCCTCTTTTCACTCCAATTCAACCAACTCGCTTTCTCATTCTTTCTGCTTAGTTTTTACTTTTTTTCTTCACTACACTTAAAGTATAATGAAGTATTATTCCATTTACGAAATTCAGTGGGCAAAATTTCGAATTATAAACACTTAATATTTTACGATTTGTCTTTAACAATAAACGTTAATTCAGCCGGCGTTATTTAAATTTTTTATTCATTATTTTTCATTTTCCATCCATCCAATTACAAGGCTATTCTTTATTATATATGTATATATTAACGGAAAACGCATCCTCGTCTCAGCAGTCACATATTACATACACACTTTTAATTAAATATAATTTTAATTTATAATCCACGCGATAATAATGACATTGGTATTAAAAAGAAAAAAAAAAAAAAATGTATATTAACAATAATTCTAATAATAAACATGCCCTTAAGAGTAATAATAACAACTACAAAAATAACAGAAATTAAAGAGATCGTTCGTCAATGTTAAGGTGGGGAGGCTTGCGCGATGATGGACATCACTTGCGCTCGGGCATCTTATATCTACAATATCAATATATTCTCATTTCCTCCTAGAGGGCATAACGAACATTAAAGCTCATAAATAGTCTTAGGATTTTAATCAAACCTTGTAGTAAATCTTGATAAAATACAAATTGATAAAAATGCGGACGCATAAAAGAAAATGTTAAAGACGGTATGGACGGTAAGGAAATAACTTTCGGTCGCGCTTTTACCAGGTAGAGTGTGGTGCATCACATAATTTATCCCGGCCGAAAATCTATTTCGCGTCGCATACTTATATTACGCTCGCCGAGATTCGCTTTTATCAGTGCTAGTGCACACAAACTCGCGCGCCCACCCGCACGCGCACGTGAGATAAAAGTTCGTGGCCCGCGCGTATGCGTATATTTCGGTTCGTTTTCAAGATAAAAAACAAACAAAAAAAAAAAAGCACGGATGCAGCAGCGCTTTATCCGTTAAACTACGAGCTTTTACGTAGAGAGTAAATGAGAAGGCGCGGTTGGACTTTCTTTACGAGCGGCGAGGCACGCAAAATCCACTCCTGGAAAATGAAAATCGTGGGACGATCCGAGCCGCCGGAGGAGCGCGTAATTAAATGCGCCGCCTCCTCGCTTTCCATCTTCCCTCCTTATCCATCGACCATCGTGAAAGAATGCGCTTGAAAATAAAAAGTGGGTTGTACCAACTCATTCGACGAGCGAACGATCTTCCCTTTGGCTTAACCGTGACATTGTTGTCGAGGCGAGATCGGACGCGCTCCTCGCGCAACCGTTATCTTGCCGACAAATGGCGCACGTGAAACACTCTGACAAGGATAATTCACCAACTTTGTATCCGGGATTCCGATAAGATTTTTGTCTGTTGTTTTCTCAAGATTTTCGCAAGATGTAAAGCTTTCTGGATTGCTAGCTTTTATTATTCTTCTTTTTTTTTCATTCTTCTTCGTCTTCTTCTCGATTACACGCGCTGATCGCATATCCCATAGGCGCTTTTTCACGGCCAATCAACAAAGCGATGACGATATTACTCATAGACAAGTTTTTTTTTTTCAACGTACACGATTGCCAATATCATTGCGAAGATACCAGGAGATGCGATGTTAAGGTTCCGTTTTGAAATATTGGGTAAACTTGCGTCTGCAATTATGCATTTTGCATTTAAAGACATTTAGTGAGGCCCAAAGTAGCTTTTATGCTAATACAAAAACAGCTGTTATTTTTATATGGGCACAATCGCATAAGAATAAGAATCTATAAATAATTTCGTTCTCAGCTTGAATCGCTCAAGCTTAATATTGCTTTGGTTGGTCTGGGATTGCATTTACATATAATAAATTATACTTTCAAAATTATTCGAAAGTTTATAGCTGATATTCAGCATTGTACTTCACCGTTATTTCATATTTCATCGTCCTATGTACAGTTATAAATTATGATGTAGCAATTAATTTTTTTTTTTTTTTCACAGCATAATTTAATAAAAAGTCAGGCTTACTTTTCTTTGAATACTACAAAATTGACTTTTTTTTTTTTTTTTTTTTTTTTTTTTACAATAGTAGATCAACATTTGTAAGATTTTTTAAATTTACATTAATAACCCCAATAACCCCAATAATTTGTATAAACAAGCTCTCTAGGCTTTATAAGTTATATTGTAAATGTGTGACTTATTAAGAATCTATAAAATTCAAATAAATATAAAATTTCTCATTTATACAAAACTTCAAAAATCTATTCAATGTTATTTCAAAAATTCAATGAGAATTTCAATTGATTATTAACGAACGGAACAGCACAAACACGTGATATTGATATAAAAAAAAAAAAAAAAAAAAAAAAAAAAAAAGGAAATGCGGAATGGACGTATATTAATACATCTCTGTTTGAAATAAAACAACTTGACGAGCTATTTACATATTATAAAAAAAAAAATTATTAATATTTATAACAAATGAGAATTTAAATACTTTTTCAACATTTATTTATTTAATTTTGTTTAAAAATCGAGTATTAATTTCGCGAAAACATTGACAATTAGAATAATATGGAAAAATTTCCTCTTTGTGAACAATGGCTGTATTTCAAAAAAATTAATTGAAAAAACCATTAAACTTACCACGATATCGTCAGTGCATATATAACTAAAAGTATACTTTTGCCGGTTTGATTTTTCCAATGAATTTATTATATTTCACGAAAGTTCCGTAGTGAAATTAAATTCCAATTTGTTTTTTTTTTTTTTTTTATCTCAATAAAGACAAAATATAACTAATACTTGATAATAAATTTATTTCCAAAGAAAATATTAAATATGTATCCTAAAGTTGTAGTTTTCATTTTAATGGTTTTCTTTCTAAAAGCCACACAGATTTCACACAGAATGGTACTTAATGCGGATAATAAATTAAAAATAATTTAGATAATCTATGCCATTCATAATATCTTCCTATTATAATAATACACCGGAATTATCGTAATTTGATTATAATATCGATAGTTTTTCAATTCAAGGAGTAGAGATGCATACATTGAGTAGCCCATTGTTCGTTGAAATTATCATTCTCTTTTCATTGACTGGATTGTATTAGAGAAGGAGAGAGCGATTTCTTTGATACGTAATGATACGTAAAGAGAAATTGAAGCGCAATCGACTGTTTACTGTTGGGGAATAAAGTTGTGATAAAATCGCAAAATGAAAAAAGGACGAAATGCGAGCTTCGAGCACTGTGGTTAATGTCGGCATGAGAGGAAGAGGAGAAATTGTCCAGTGAAGGACAAAGCTATTCGGGACTATCTTTGTGACTGGCAAGTGGCTTGGGAAAACACTTAGAACTTTCCCGAATAAAAAGATCGAAAAAACCAAAGACTTCTGGGCTAAGTGAACGCGAATAAAGATGATAAGAAAAGGAAAACAGGATGAAGGAACTAGTCGATACAAAAAAAAAGGGAAACGAGAAGAAGATTACATCAGCCACAGAATGTAGTTTATATATATATATATATATATATATATATATATAAATACCGATAGTTGGAAAAAACTAGGAAATATCTTCTAGGTGTTTTTTTTCTTCCAGAAGTTTGAACCTCATCAACGTCTATATAGTTGCAAGTTGATTGTCATGCTCATGTACGTGTATGTATACACGAAGGAATCATAAGAAGTTGCATGCAAATAATCTTAACTGTACAATGCGACTATTCAGTGCATATATTGTACAGAGGGGTTGTAAGCAAATGTGTAAATAAATGATTTATTTTAATTTTAATCTAATTAATTAATGAAAAAAATTGAATCCAATATCATCTTTAGGTTGATATTAAATATCTTGGTCTTAATATATATATATATATATATATATATATATATATCATGTTTTATAAATGGATCGATATTTTCTATTAATATTCGCCTTACTTAGTACGTGGATTTCAAATATCTGTAAATGCAAATGGAAAGTCTTGAATTCTCCAAGCATGAAAAATGAAGACGAAAGGCTCAATGAAAATGCGGTAGACGGTAGAGCTAAAAACTATAAATAGTATTGCACGGACTCACCATGAGCGAAGGAGATGAGAACGACGCCGAGGAGCGCCAGACTCAGCAGCGGGCGAGTGGCCATCCTGCCGTGGATCGTTACGTCGATTCGGCCTCCTCCTGAAACAATACGAACATCCCTCGATCAATCAAACCATCTCTATCCCTACAATCAGCCCGAGCAACTCTCCACTCATACTCGAGCTCGAGTGCAGCGCTCGCCACCGTAACCCGCCCGTCCCGCTCTATCTTTCTATTACTCTCTCAGACTCTCCCGGTCGGCGCCTCTCTTCCCTGGCAGTCTGCCCACGCATTTTGCCATCATCCCTGCGATTTCAAGCCCAACACGCATCGGCTCCCCGCGCATACCTACACGTGGATGCTCGCGATGCACTTACGCATTCAAGAGGACTTGGAAATTCAGCCGCCGTGATTACGATGATGCGAGAGGAGAAAAATATCGTGGCTCCTTTACAGGCAGATTACAGAGGCTGCACATTCATCGCTATATATATATATATATATATATATATATATATATCACTGAGCCTCGCTGACCTGCTTGTAATTTCCTCCCAACCGACTCATCTCCCTCGCTTATCTCCTTCGTTCCAACTGTTTTGACTCTTTCTTTCCTCACGTGTGTCGCGCCTTTCTTTCTTCGTCCCCGAGGTCGCTTTCTTTTTCCCGTTCACCAACTACCTCCTACGTCGCTTTTACCTTTACTTTGCCCGTATGCTTGGCTTTTGTTGAGCTCGATAGAACTGAATCGCAAGTCGGAGCCATTCTCCAGCCGTCAATACGATATTTTTTTTTTTTTTTTTTTTTTTTTTTTTTGTATATTTTTCAACAATAAAGCCTTCGACTCGATCAATTTCTTTATTTTTCTAAATTAAGGCGTTCGATATCCTTGTTGAAATTTACTCGAAAATACGAAGAATACAAATACTCTTTTGTATCTAAATCGCAAAGTCCATTGCCAATAGAATACTTATTCTTAAAATTACTACGATTTCCAGTTGATTTATCAACATTTTTTTATTCATTGAATTTGTGCATAGACTTTTTCGTCAATTAGATTATTGCACTTTAAGGAAATAAGTTGTTTCGTGAAAGTATCCGTCAGCTTATTATTAAACAGACATTTAAACGACATTATAATCTTTAATATTAATTTTCATTTCGTTTAAGTAAATCTTATTTCGTAAGATGCGCCACAAGATGCCTTACCACAATATAAGCCATTCGCTCAATTTAATAAATTTACTCAATTGCAATCAATTTGATTTTCTATTACCTTATATCGCAACCGAACATTCGGTAAACGAACTCGATTTTTCGAATTCCATAAACCATTAGGGACCAGCGACACTTTACCGTCGCTGTCCCATAACTCGGCGTCACGGTTTTTTCTTACGTGCCGCCAATCAAAAATCACTTTAATCGCCAAAGTTCATCGCTGTAAAAATAGCGCGGCGCGTGACAGGGCGCGAATGTTTCCCACTTCCCCGATCGTCACCGCGAAAAATACGCAATAAAAAGACTCGTGAAATTACGGGCGTAAAAGAAAAGTTGGCCAACTCGACATTGGGTTAGGAATAAAGGATCTGCGATAAATGCCAAAAGCTAACGAAACAATCACGGACAGCGATTTACGACGAGTCCGCTTAACCATTTTAAAATGACGAGGGAATGATGCGGTCGCAGAAACTCCATACCTTTAACACTTTCGACTCGAAAAACTTGGCCGTGCGCTCCTCACGAAGCTACTTTTCTTCCTCAACTTCCTTCACTCCTTTCATTTTATACTGTTTGTCCAACCAAGTCTTATCGGGAAGTTCAGCGGGAAAAGTGCCCTAGTCGGATTATTCGTTGCCGAATGGAGAAATTTTTGGACAAAATTCGTTACTTTATTTTCAGAATGTAAGATGTTATTTTTGCGTGAAATTGACGTGAAATTGACGAGAATTTCAACGGCTTATTATGAATATTTACTAATTATTTAATAATGTTCGAAAATATTTTACGTACAGCTTGGCTTAAAAATATTTCATTAACATTTAGTTTTTGTAGAATTTTGTTAAGGTTTTATGTAATTATTGAAGCATAATACATTGCTTTTGCGAAACTCTGCAATGATTCCCAATGCTATACAATCCTATAGGGCTGATATGTAAATAAAATACAATAAATAATAGACATCCGTCGATGAGTATGAAAGTATTAAATGATAAATCACGAAAATTCTTATAATTAATGAATTTATATGGCGTGCGTGCTATTATTGAAAAAATAGAATGAAATCAAAGTATTTTGCAGTGACGCTCGAGTCTTGGCAGCCAAGATCATCGCGTGACAATCACTAAAATTCACAGTATACACTTTAATATTAATGAATACCATTTCCTACAACTTTTAAAGAAAATGACATTGATCTGGCCCTGTGTATGATGATATTTGATACTAGAGCGACGCACGGCACTCGGGGCTTGCGCTTCATATATTTTATACGCGCGCAATTGCATCAATGTTTGCTACTGTTTAGTCGCACGCGTAGCCAATACTTTTGCCGGGAAATTCATACAAATAAGAAGGAGAGAATTTTCACGAGACGCGGAGAGAAAATAGAGAGCCCTATGTAATTGTATGAGAATAAACGGGCAGTTTATGATTTTATGCAGGAGCATTGGTTTACGGAAGTCGTTCGGCTGTTTGTAGTTAATTAGTGGCGTCGAGGGTCCGGGTAGAACGAGCTTGGCTACGTTGCTTGGAAAATGAATGTTAACTTTTTGTCGAATGGGTCGCCGCCATTCGGTGTTGTAATTCGAAAGTTGTTAGCGCGCTAACCGTGCGTATATCGAAGCTATTCGATGTGGTTGAGTATCGAATTACCGGGCGGCAAATAACATTCGGTGAAATTGGACAAATATGTGCGAGCGAGTATGTCGCACAACCCTTTGTAAATCAGTTTTAATTAGAAATTGACGAAAATTCAAATTCGTTTGGAGCGTGATAAAGTGCGCGCGGGCGTGTGAAGTAAGCGCGCGCAAATAGAGGGTTATTATGTATAACGAAGCTTACTTTTTGTAATAAAGCTTACTCGAATTTTTATCGCCTAGGCTTACGTTTAAATTTTTTCAACCAGCGTTTTATCCTTTTAAGTTTCCTGATTTTCATTATACCGATGCTGCTATTTTATTCATTATAAAATACTCATTAATTATGATATATATATGTAATGGAGTAAATCAATAGCGAACGTTCTAGTTATTAAGAGAAGAACAATAAGACCACTTTGCTGATCTTCGGCATAAACTTGAAAGAATTTTTTCAATTAGTTTATCGAGCGCAATAAGAAATTACATTCAAAGTAATGGCAAATATTTTTTATATATTAAAAGATATATTTAAATACGCGATTAATAATAAAATACTGCTGAAAACACCTGCTTTAAAAACATGAACGATATGATAAAAAGGGTTTGATTAATTTATTAATAATACAACTTCCTTCCTTCGCCCTTGATAACTTAACTATTCCAAAATAATTGAACTATAATGTAATTATCGATAACTTTATGATGGAACATATTACCTTAGATAAGAATCGATTATGTAGAATGCAGAAAGGCAAGAGGAAGAAGAAGAAGAAAGAAACGGTAACCTATTTTGATATAATAATCTAAAACTAGCTAGATGAGTGGATTTTTTTATAAAATATGCTCCAAGCTCCTGCTTTTAAAGACGAAAAATATATATATATATATATATATATATATATATATATATGCTATTTATCTAACGGATGACCTCTCCTCACACGTTCCCTCCACACTCTGAGAAATTCTCTGCTTGCAACAAACGGAAAAACCGAAAAACAAAAACGAGAAAGAAAAAATTACAGAAATTTGAAAAAAAAAAAGAAAGTATTTCGGAGAATAGCCAGGGATGAAACATGTCTTATGAGAGACATGTGGTAAATGCAGTTTAGAGAGCCTTGGTAGCGTGAAACTGCCATTTTTTAACCAAACATGTCAGCAAATCAAGAGCCTAGATATCGCCTCCCATCCCAATTCGCTACTGTAATGGTGGCGACGAGTTCTAGGGTCCACGGATAGTCTCGACCGACGCCTCCACCGTGACTTGAGTCCACGACGAGCGTCGGGAGACTCAACGGAGCTCGAACCCCCTCGTATACGAAGCGAAGCGCAAACGAAACGAGTGGAGCATGGCCGTCGAGAGAAATCAAACGATTTTACGCTCCAGATTACGAGTCTCTTTGAGGATCGGTCCTCGTGAAAATTCTCCTCGCGAAAGAGGGGAAAAAGAAGCCGAGAGGCAAAATAGCAACAAGGATCCCGAGCTCTAACGGAGGATGCGAACTTGCGAAGTTCATTCGCCCGTCGGCTGCTTTGCGACAAATAAGGACCGTACGTTGCTACTTATCAGAGTGGAGGGTAATTTATGATTGGATGGTTTTAAAAATCGCTGGAAATCATGGAATGTTAACTGTAAGTTACTCTCGATCATAACCGAATGATATTTTATCATGACGATGAAATATTTAATGAATTCCGACTTGCAACTTCCGAGCTTTCTAAATAGCGAGTGTCTTACTAAAGCATCACTGTATGTAATTCTTAATGCGCGACATAAATGTTGAAAAGTTCTTCTGTTCAAAGGTTACGAGAATGTTGACTATCATTAATACATCAATGGCTAAGTGATATTAACTATTTCAAGTTAGATTCGCCAGCGTTACTTAATCTAAATTGCTTATACATACTAAACTTCAGCTCTGTTTCTCTATAATTCTATGGAAACAAAAGTTTTACGGATAATTTAGTTTCACTTGAATTTCGATAGAATGAATGGTTCGAACATTTTTAAAATCACTTCCACTTGTAATTACGATGGAAAATGTTGAAAAAACAAAACAAACAAAAAACAATACAACAGTTTCATCATTAAATTTAATCGTTAAATTCACGATTAATTACTATTTTCCAAGCTTCTTCAATATTTTATCACCAACCAATCTGTCTCAAAACAATAATAATTTTATTCACAAGATAATGCTAAGATTTTTCAACTAAATGAAATTGTCAACGGCAAATACA